CAAGAGCTAAACGACCAGATCAGAGACCGCTTAGGTTCAAGTATGGCCACCCGTAAGGCAGAACTGCTGTCCTTATGTGAAACAAGAGCTAAACGACCAGATCAGAGACCTCTTAGGTTCAAGTATGGCCACCCGTAAGGCAGAACTGCTGTTCATAAGTAGAACAATCAGTATGCAGCACCCGTCGCTTACACGACTAACCTCAACCGATAACTGGATGGATGTTAAAATTATAACGCCTCAACAGTTGAAAGTGCAGAACACGTTCAATGGAATATCATGGTTCGAACCTTAGATCTTCCGATATGAAACCCGATACGCTAACCACTTGGACCCATATATTTGATTCGTTTTGGGAAATGTGCGCCATAGCCTTTCTTTGTATACAAAATTACAGGCAACTTAAGTGAATTATATCATGGGTTAATAACACCTTCCACTCTTTGTATGAAATTTTATGAACTAAAATTAAACTAAAAACATGTGTCTAGTGGCAAGTTACGTGCCCATTTTTACTTTTTAAATGCTATTTTAGATTAGAACATTTCTAACAATGAAAAACTTTTTTTCAGTATTGGATGCAGACATTTCTATTGCAACCACACCCTCACGAAAGGTAACTAGAATACTGATCACGTCATTACTAGGCAGAATTAGTAGACTGGTGGCAGTGTTACTGTTAGCAGACGAGTATAACAGTTTAATGATAACACTAAAAATCGAGTTTCTTAGGGAGTCTGATTACGTCATTACCAGACAATTATTAAATAGATTGACGACAGTGTTAAGTTACTTACTGTTAACCCTAACAATGAAGTTTCTCATGGAGTCTGATTACGTCATTACCAGACAATTATTAAATAGATTGACGACAGTGTTAAGTTACTTACTGTTAACCCTAACAATGAAGTTTCTCATGGAGTCCGATTACGTCATTACCAGACAATTATTAAATAGATTGACGACAGTGTTAAGTCATTGTTAACCCTAACAATGAAGTTTCTCATGGAGTCTGATGACATTATTACCAGACAATTATTAAATAGATTGACGACAGTGTTAAGTCACTGTTAACCCTAACAATGAAGTTTCTCATGGAGTCTAATGACATTATTATCAGAAAATTATTAAATAGATTAACGACAGAGTTAAGTTACTGTTAACCCTAACAGTGAAGTTTCTTATGGAGACTGTTTACGTTATCACCAGACAAGATATGAAGAAAGTAATGAGAATATTAACATACCGAGAGTAATTGCAGAGCTAGTTAAATATAGTAATTAATTAATAGTAACAGAGGCTAGTTTTCGGGAAACTAAATGGACTGTTCACACACGGGGTTTCTTGGAGGCTAGCAGTAATAATGTTAACGTAATCAGTCTGGAATAGGTGATAACGCCAACATAATCCAGTGTTTGATAAACAGATGATAATACTAACGTAAGTAAGTCTCATATAGGTGGTAACGGTAACGTAAATAAGATTGGGATAGGCGGTAACGCTAACAACTCTACGATAGGTGATAATGTTAAAGTAAATAAGGTTGGGGGTAGGTTATAACGTAAATAAGTCTACGATATGTGGTAACGTTAACGTAAATAAGTCTACGATAGGTGGTAACGTTAACGTAAATAACTTTAGGATAGGTGATAACGTTAAAGTAAATAACTTTGGGGTAGGTTATAATGTAAATAAGTCTACGATAGGTGGTAACGTTAACGTAAATAAGTCTACGATAGGTGGTAACGTTAAATTAAATAAGTCTCAGATAGGTGATGACGTTAACGTAAATATAGTCATAGTACTTATAAAACCCTGTATAATTCATATCAGATTCTTCATACTTTTCTGAATGTGAAATTCGTGAATTTATTCTAACATAAAAGAGAAACTGTTTTGTTTGTTCACAAGCCTTGGCTATTTCACGTGATTAAAAGGTTTGTTCATTTTTGTTCTCTCTTCAATGACTTCTCTCACTTTTGTTTATTTAATAATTTTGGTACTCTGCAGTATACAAAATCTGATCACTCCAATAGGATGCTAAAGTTGAGCAAGGAAGTACAGACCAAGTTCTGTTGAAAGTGTAGTACGTTTTCCCAATCACTTCATTAATTGTTGTTTGCCAACTTATTACAATACTAAACTTTGCTTCTTTTTACTCTTCCAACCACAGGTTAGTGGTCACTCAACGCCAGTAAGGAAGTACAGACCAAGTTCTGTTGAAACGTGTAGTAGTTTTCCCAATCACTTCATTAATTGTTGTTTGCCAACTTATTACAATACTAAACTTTGCTTCTTTTTACTCTTCCAACCACAGGTTACGGTCACTCAACGCCAGCCACATGGGGCGGAAAAACGTTCTGTATGTTCTACGCCCTGGCGGGAATCCCGTTAGGCCTAGTGATGTTTCAGAGTATTGGTGAGAGACTCAACACCTTCGTGGCCTACCTGCTAAAGACTGTTAAAAGGTGCCTAAAGATGAAGAACACGGAAGTCACAGAGACTAACCTCATCTGTCTAGTGTCCATCCTGTCTACGTTAGTGATGACCACAGGGGCTGCAGTCTTTTCCTGCTATGAACACTGGAATTATTTCGATGCTTTCTACTACTGCTTCATCACGTTAACGACGATAGGCTTCGGTGACTACGTTGCTCTACAGAAAGAAAGCGCCCTTCAAAGCAAACCCGAGTACGTGGCCTTTAGCTTAGTGTTTATTCTTTTCGGCCTCTCCGTGGTGTCTGCTGCCATGAATCTGTTGGTGCTTCGTTTCCTCACAATGAACACCGAGGACGAGCGAAGAGACGAGGCAGAAGCTCAATCGGCAGCTCAAGAAGCCGTGCGCCTCGAGGGTGACGTCATTACGGCTAACGGCAGTATAATTTCCGGTCATGGGCCCGATGCATCCGATTCTGATGACGCTACTTCCGTGTGTTCGTGCACGTGCTACTCACTAAAACGAACGCCAAAACACAGACATTCCCTGCGATCGTCTAGCAGCGGGAAAAACTTTCATTTGTACCCCATGCAGGTGCTAAGTGATTCGGATAATAGGGAAGACGTCTTCAATTCGATTAATGTTGATGTAGACTCTAGTCTTTTTTATACACTGGAAGAGTATAAACAAAAACGAGCCTCCATCTGACATAGGGAGTCTTAAATGTAATAATTTAAAGTGTATTTAAATTATTTAAGAACGATCCGTCTGCTTAATTCTTCTGAAAAAGACAGAAACAGATATCTAAACAAACATACATATATATATATATGAATTTTGACAACCGCATTGTTAGTTTTATAATTAAACAGCTATAATAATGACAGCACTATCGATTTTTTTTGTTATACACCTTTTAAGGAATACCATAATTAAGTCGAATATTTATATTGTTCATATCTTCAACATCATCTCGTGCGTATTAGGATGTACAGTAGCGTCTTAGGTGGCAGAGAATGAGACTTAGCAGTAACATGTGTGTCCTATTTTAATACGATCGATAAAAATTTAAATCGTGTCCTTCTCTACTGGCCCAGTAGGGGTTTCCAGTAAGATGGCATGATTTAAATGCTATTATACACACAACTTACATACCGAAATCTGGCTTCAGGTGTGGTTGGTCTAGTAACCAGCGTGTCTGAACTGTGATTCAAAGGGTTCGTGGTTCCCGTCCCTTTGCTGCAAAAACTCTTTACATTATTTGGGACCGTAAGTGTGCTGCTATTCGGTCAGACATAGAGTGGATGGTAAGTGACCTGTGCTCAGATAGCCCACGTGCAGGTTTGCCCCCCCCCCCCAAAAATCAAAACAAACTAGAAACCTATACTGTAGCAGTAAAGAGCAGTGTGATTTAAATTATCATTGCTTTCTTGTTACTACTAAACAAATCATCTGGTTGGGTTATCGATTTCGTCCGTAAACAGCACTGTAAGACTGTAATAGGACTACAATGGTTCTAACAATGTTTTTTCTGTGATGTTTTTAAACGCCAGGGCAGCCCAAGCATGAAAGCTCATTTGGCCTCATTGTGTAACTAAGCAACGCTGTGGATTTTTAAGATGTTTTGAAGAGATGAATTTTATTCTATCTCTTTACGGGTTTTTTAATGGTGGATTATATCGAGTACATTTTATCTGACCAAGACAAAGTCAGCAAGGCTTTTCGAACAATTCGCGAGGTCGCCAGGTCAGCTGGGAGGGTCACAATGGTAAAGCGCACGCAAAGAGTCATGCGTTTAAAAAAAACATTATCATGACTATTTTGGAGTTTCTTAACAGCGATATTTCTATACAGGTAGGTCAACATAGTTTGTTTTTTTTTTTTTGTTTTTCAACTGAGCAGTTGCTCTTATTTAACTAGTTTTATAGGCAAAATAGGGGCAGCGTGGCCTACTGTTTAGAGTTTTGGACTAGTAGTTGGAAGGTTGCAAGTTTTAGGTTTTCTCGCGACATGCTGTTTTGTTCTTGAGCAAGACACCTTGTGCCAGTTTTTGCGGTCTATACGGCTGTATGATTGGTAAAAGTGTATGTATGGGATGGACTGCGATGGACTGGCATCTGGTCCAGGAAAAAATTATCACAATTTTCATCTGCTTGTGCCATTGAAACCGGAGTTCAACAATGGCTCATATTTGCTGAGCAGATATGGAATGGCTTTAACTTGACAGCCAAAAACATTTGAGTGAGAGACGTAATGAATCGGCTGTATATATATATATATCTATTTTGGCATTCATATTTGAATTTACACTAGCTTTCTAATTCCTAAAGCTTATACATATATATATATCACAATTTCAATTTCACTTTTGTGGACAAATTCTCAGACTTTCCTAGTCAGCACAAACAAGGAAAAATCGAAAATTCTTTAAAATAAACAAAAGAATCTCGTAAAAATTTACTTTGATATGTAAAGTTCAGTCTAACTTATTTGAACATACTTTATGTTTCAATATTGAGCCGAGTATTTGTTTTTATTTTAAATTTTTTCCACATGTTCTTCTTTCCAATCTTCAGTAAAGTTTTGTGTTTTCACTTCATTAAAAGCAAAATATACAAAATTCAATCATAGTGACATATATTTCCAAATTTCTACTTTGAAATAGTTTTTTTTTACTACTTTAAAAATATTTAGCCTGCAAGTTATATTTATTAAAGAAACATAAAAACATGATGTTTATGTATTGTATTACTAAATTTCGAAATAAGTCTTAAAAATAATGAACACATTTTTTCACCAATTTCTATTATTTTTTTTCGACCCATGAAAATGAGAAATTATGTTAAATGACTGAATATGTAAACTATGATTATTTGTTGCACTATGCGACCAGTGATATGATAAAGAAGAGATGTAATTTAAAATTTTTCTAATATTTCTGAATGAGCTTATCATTTTCTCGAATTTATTTAAGTAATGAAGTACTGCCTTTATCGTCGAATAATGTAATGATAATTTCACTTGAAGTTCCTTTTTGATTTCAGGCTTACTCTTAGCTACTATTAAAATTGTTTTTTATTTTTTCATGAAACCGTTTTTATCAGTGTGCATCGTTATTCTAAGAGTATAAGTATTTATTTCAGAAGAATGTACAGACGCTTACGATAATCTTTTATAGGTAGGTGAGTATAATAAATATGACGATACGTTGTAGATTATCTCTTTACAAGACGATTATACTTCTTTACTAAAATTGATAATCCGATGGATTGCCGTTTCTGTACGGATGATGTAAAAATATCTGCTTGTCAAGAAATATAAACATATCTCAGGAAAGACTCCTCTTCTATGTATTCAATAAAATATGTTCATATAAGTTGTAAAGTTAAAAAATGTTTGATTATTCAAGGGTATAACAAATGAATATTATGTGTAAACACTATTTACAATTAATCTTGATTTTATTTCATTTTTGTCAAACAAATTCCACTCCTGACACCAGTATTATAATGGTTGTTATTGTTAGCTGAATTCTTTCATATTGCTATAATGTTGTTCTTTCGTTGACGGTTCTTAAATTTATCTGGTGAAAATAATTCAAAGTCTAGTCCACGTAAAGATAACTAATTAGTTTATTTCTTCCTTGACGTCTTTACATCTTTGAATACTGTGGTAACTTTTAGATCACATTTACAAATGATGCTAACTGCACTATATTAATGAAAAAATCAACTTATTTGTACAAAGTATCTCAATATGCGCTATAGCTAACACAGATCCAAAAACATAAACACACTAACTAATTCATCTTATGAGCTAGAAAACAAATCTCTACCTTGTTAAAATTATCCTTGCTTCACTGATTCACTCTGAAACTTTCTTAGTTTATTAACTGGATTACCCGTATTTGTATTTATTCTTTTTTCTAGATATTGTGCAAAGCTTCTAGGGTTTCCTGACGTCAATTTAGAATATTATAAGCCTATAAGCCTACAATCACAAACTTGCTTGTTGTTAACATCATACCCTTTAGCTAACATCTAAATTACAATATTAAAAAAGAATCCTGAATTGTGAACAATAAAAACTACACTAAACTGTCCATTAATCAAGTATTTTGGTATTTTTCTCTTCTGAGACCTCTGATATACAGATTGGATGGCATCTTCTCTCTTGTTGTTACTGGTCGTCGTGTCACTGGGGGAGTTCATCCTAGGTTGGTGGTCGAGTGAATCCATTAGCGGCTCCACCCTTGACGATCCTCTGGAAGTAGTCTAGAAAGGAGCTCTGGTCTCCTCAGCAGGTTGAGTTTTCTCTGCTATGTTCTTCAGAGTGATTTAAACTAAAGATCATTCACCAAGATCGTCTTTGGAAGTATGTCAAAGGTCATTCACTATGATCATCTTTGGAAGTATGTCAATGAGAGAATGGCCAAGTGGATAAGATAGCCTATCCTTCTGGATTCTGTATACTACATCATTGATTCTATCCAGCATAGCATATGACCTATCCCAGTATCTGCATAACCTTAAAGTTCATCATTTTTAGAGACGGGGACTGTACAGCCATACCATGTCACCTCGATGCAATCCATTCTTATTAGAACTTACACCATAACCGCCTTTTGTTTTATCACAAGCTAATTCAAGTCTTCTCTGGGTAAAGTCATGTACGACATCTTTTTTCTTCACATCTAGGAGAGCTCTTTCAACCACCAATTCCTCATTACTACACTAATAAATCATAGTATTAGTATGTCACTTGTTCAATGAAAGCTTTTCCTGTTGTCACTAGAAGTTCAACATCAGGTGTAGTACTTTCCATGTAGCACATAAGGATTTCCTGGTCATAGACTGCGAAGCTATTTGAAGCTAGCATAACCTCACATCCATGTCTCTGCATGAAGCTAGTTCCCAATATGCACTCTTTCTGGATGTTAATACCCTACACATCATGAGGCACAAAGAAGCTTCTTACAGAAAGAGTAACTCCCAACTTACCTTTTGGTGGAACTTTATCCCTCTTCTTTTTTCATCTCTGGAGGAAACTTCCAATCTTTCAATGACAGATCTGGTCGAAAAATTGTAGCTGCAGAGCCAGTGTCATTCAGCGTACCACAGAGTTTTTCATCAATAAACCCGTAGACTCGCGGACGATTTTTTATGATATTACGAATTGATGTTCTCTTCACCAAAGGCAAAATTGAAAATATAATCTGTGACGTAAAGGCCTAATATATTCTTCCGTTTCTTGTTCTTTCTGCTGTGGACTGCAGTTTTGCCTTTTAAATTTTACTTTTGGTTAAAAGAAAATAAATCCGTAATATCATCATTAAAGAGATGGTCCACTGTAGAACAAATATATCTAAATGCCACAATGTTACTAAATGGTGAGTTAAAGGAACGTGAAAATGCTATAAATATTATTACCATATTGGCCCGATTATAAGGCGATGATTTTTTTATTAATAATTAGGCTGTAAAATTCATAGTCGCCTTATGTTCGCGGTCGACCACAGGCCCCATCCCCCTGTTCTAGTCTGTCACATTCTGAATGTCCCGATACCATCCATCTACGCATGTGCACCAGATGTTTACTCAGGGTCATAGCTAATTCTTGCAAGTAATCCACCTGCAGTCTGTGCAGTTATAATCTTGATTTTGCGGACGTTATGACACTAAAATGTTTTCTTTCCCATGGTTTTTGAAAATTGAGGTCGCCTCATATTCGAGATCGCCCTATAATCAGGCCAATATGATATAATTTTTGTTTAAATTGATCCCGCATTAACTCTCTCTCTACACGGGCTCTGTCAAATTGACCAACCACGTGACCAATTTGTACTCATTATAGTTTTGACACTACTAATTTTTAATATACCATGTGTATCTTCACAGAATTTGGCAGATTTTCAGTGAAAATTACAAGTCTTTTACATGCAAAAAGTAAGAATTTAATGAAGTGTTTTCAATAAACTCAAAAAAAGATATGCCTGTGGATATATCGAGTCTCTGTTTTTTTCTAGTTCGAGTGTAAAGTGATTTTCATGTTAAGAATAAAAGTATTTTTCTTCATCTTAAAAATCTCAAATTTCATTTACGTAATCTTTAAAACCTCCTAAATACATTTCAAACGTTTTTCTTTTCTTTTATCCGTTGTTTTCTCTACTATCACTCTAGTCAAAGTTGGTCAATTTGACCAACCTCGTAACCTAACCACATAAAAAATATCGAAATAAACCTAAATTAACTTTTTCTTCCAGAATTATTTCAAATTTTAACATGAAACTACATTTTTTATGCTAAATTGCTTTAAATTCGTAACAGTATACATCTATTTATTCTTAAATTTTATTGTTTTATTTTCCTTTGAATAGTGTGTAACTATTATTTCTGCCATTATAAGTTGTAAATCACTTGGGGAACGTGCTGCTCACATTACACTATCGAATTACATTACTCAAGAACTACTCTGAGCTGCTCGCGTGTGTGCCTTATGGGAAAAAAGCTATTATATTATTATTATCATTTATTTTACCTAATCTAACCTTACCTAACATAACCTAAGGAGTTTCCTATTTTTACGTTTTAGTTACTTTTATAATAATAAATAAAGAATACACGTGAAAAACAAGAAATAAAGTACTAACCTGGGCCTTCATTTTTTTGCTGTCAACTGTCGATGACTCTCAACTGTATTTATTTTTAATACTAATAGTAGAAGTATACTAAACAACTTTTATTTAATTAAATAATGCACCAAAGAACATAGAATATTAACATTCAAAAATCAGACAATGTCCCATACTACGAGAATATTTTTGGCTTTCTAGCTATGCGACAAGACCCGTTAGCAATTCATCCAAGCTAGTCGATAAGTTTCTCCTGAGAACAAAGCTTGTACTGAAAAAGAACTTGACAATTCTTTGTACAGAAAACGATGTAATATAATACGTCATTTTATGGATGAAACTTTTGTCTTTCTATTAGTTATAAATAACATAATATTACACATAAGGGAGAACTATTAACAAATCCTGAAAGAGAGGATGTGACAGGTGGGTGTGGCAAGAGGGGTCTGATTTTCCTTTTGATGGCTTTGTAACCAAAAACGATTAAAGGCTATGAAAATTATGTTTCGACTGAGCGATGACGATATTATAGTGAGTAATTTACTTTAAATTTCGTACTTATTGGCGGGGTTGTAAAGAAATTAGAGAAGAAGGGATGCCTAGAGAAAAAAATGTCACATTTCTCACACTAGAGAAAATTCACTATATTTTATAATATTGCTTTATAAAATTAAGATCTTAAAACTTATATACTATTAAAATATGGATTATTAACTACGATTTTATGCTATACTAATTGGTATAACATAAATAAAAAGTGGTTTAATTAAATTTTGAATGTAAATCACTAAAACCTCGTGACATGCGCAGTAGAAGATGCCTGTGCAGAGGTGGTTAAATCCTCTTAGGTTTTGAGTTTAACCTAATGTGGTTTCAGGTTGTTAACATGAAATCAAATACATACATCAGTGGAAAGGAGGTGTTCACAAACTGGTTGATACTAATGTAGAAGAAATGAGTAGAAAAATGGCACATTTGTAAACGAGTATGTTCTTCAAAACATTCATTATATTTGCCCAACTAGCACTGTAGTAGTTAGTTAGGACCATTAAATTGATGTTTATTTTTAATTAATTTATTATTATTTTAAGCATGATATAAATTTACACACAGTATTAATAATGGAGTGTACTTAATCCAAAGAATGAAATGGATATCATAGTAGCAGTGGTGGCTGCTTGTACTTCATAATGTGTGTAATAATGTCTGTGTCTTAACCACACCCGAAACACAAAGTACATTAAAAAAGAAAGTTGCTTTAGGTGTCTCAATTTATTTATACATGAGTTTGAGTCATTGGTCTAGCAAGTTTCATGGCTGTTAAAACGTTGGTAACAATTGTCGTGCCATACGAGGCCTATCTGAAATAACCTCCAAATCAATTTGTAAAAAAAAATCATACTTTTTAACCACGTAAATATAACTCAGTTAATAAAACTCATTCTTTAATTGCTTATATCTTGACAAACTGTGAATAATCAAAGAATGCCTAAATTTGTTCCAGCCCTTGATTTCCATGACTTTACTAGGCTTGCATTTTTAGTTGCAAACTTTTCTTAAAATGATTTTTATTAGCTGTTCCTAATTTTAATTTTCCAAAACTTTCAAATCTTTTATGTTTAAAACAAATAAAATACAGATATCAATATGAAAAAATACTTTATTTGTCCAATAAGTCACTGAGGCTGCTCAGTT